CACGTGATGTCAGCAAGGGGAAAATGCCAATGAGGAAAGGAAAATAATAAAAAACAATTTGTCATCTTAACTGACAGTGAAATAAAATACGAGTGTGCCCAGCGTGGAGGGGCTTATGCAATCAGAGGCCCAGCAGCTCTGGGTCTTAATGGACAATTCGCTTAACGAGAGACAAAGGGCCACTCCCTGTCCGATCTCTTTCGCCGTGTGACAGAGACAGCCATAAGGGGGCAAAAGAGTCTCGGCTAGAGTCATAGCCATACACAATAGGACCAATTGAGCGCACATCAAACGACAGCAGCAGCAGTAACCGGCCGGTGAATAAAATAAAGCTCCACCTTGGACAGAGAACTCCATCTGTCCCAGCATTTCTGACTCTGATATGTTTCCATCTCTACAAGTAAGTATTTCCCCGGTTCTCCGCCACTTTAAAACCTTTCCCTTTCCCGCCCTAAAATGGCCGCTTAATGTATCAATAATGTCGGCCATAGAATCTGGGCGGTTGCTTTTGGTTCGCTTGTCAGGTGTGTCGGCACGAGCGGCTTTGTGGGCCCCCTCGGCTCTCTGCCATCCGCACTCCGCATTCCGCACCCCGCTTACCCTTACCCCAAACCCCTGGCCAACCAGCAGCTTCTAACAATTCCATGAGGCGATAGGCAGCTGTGCCTGTTCGTGGGTCTAGGCCTGTGCAGGGGTTTATTCGCTGATGTATCCCATAAAATATGTACACCCTATTTGTGGTATTTGTGGGGTATGCTGGAATTTACGGGAAGTCGTAAATTCAGAAATTCAGGAATTCAAGTAAATTCAGAATTTCATATGTATCACTTTCTCACTACATTAAATTATATCATTATATTATATAAAATAAAACTTTGTTATCTTCCTATCTTTCCACAAAGATCTGAATGATCCAACAATTAAAGAAGAAATACATCGACAGACTCCACAACCACGAAAATAATTTAGCCTTAAGTCTATTAGACAATAGCCTAACAGTAAGAAGACTGAAAAGATACCACATTCTCGATATCCCTGATAGATAAATCCAACAAACTGAAAAGATGTTATATATAATAGCAGGGCTCATTGGAAAACTGCTATTTCTGTTAATGGAATATTAATTATACAATTTACTTATTTTTTAAACAAACAGATTGTAAATATAAAGAGAGAGAAAAAAAAAACAACAAAAAAATCTTCCTATCTTAGATACATTTCATTTGAATAAATAGGCTTTAATTTCAAATATTCATTGGTACTCCTTCTCTCCATCCCTGACCAGCTCGCAAAGAAAAACCGCAAAGGTGTCAAACGTCAAAGCTAAAGTCAATAAAATAGTTTACCCATGGGTGAATACTATGTATGTGTGTGTACACGAGTGTGTGTGTGTATGTTTGGCTATGTATTTACGAGCTTGTTTGTTGTCCACTCTAAACAAGAACAAGGCAAAACAAGCAAAGTGTGTCCATAAGTTACTCAGCGATATATGCATCGTATTTTCGGCTTATTGAGAAATGTTTTGTCAGAGCACTCAACAAATAAACGGAGTTCAGACCCAGCGAGCACCAAAATGAGATCCAAGTTGAAATTGGGTTGCGGCATAGAAATACCAGCAAAAAAGAACAGAAGAGAGCTTCCCATGCGGGTCGTTAGCATAATTTTTGATATGGGAGACCGTTCTGAAGAGGTCGGATTTGCATAGGTCTGTTCAGCCATGCCAATCTGTACATTTTCTTTATTCGAAAATATATTCCATCTTTTTATTAACACTTTAGCCAAAGTATCAAATCATAATAGCCTGTTACGGTTTCTAGGTGTGTTGTTTGGCTACTTGTCTCAAAATCCTCAGAAGCTAAGAAAAATATACAAATCGAAGTATCCATAATATGGGAGATTTATTCGATATGAGATTTGTATGATTTGAATATGCTATATTAAGAGTCAACTGTCGTATTCCAATTGATAAATCCAATATAGAGAATCGAAGGCGATAAAGAGCCACCAGAATGCCACTGTCTCATACTCTTTCAAGCGCATTGTTTCTAGTTAATAAGATATTTGTTGATTGCACACAAAATGTATTAAATTCCAACATGGTACTTACTTTTGAATCTATCCTTTTACTATATTTCGGGCGGGTATTCCAGATCTTCAACGGCACGCAAATGCTATTGTAACCGAAGCGGGACGTAACTCTAATAACTCGTAACTCTGGTCACTCCACTTCTTGTCGGACCATCCAAGTAATTAGTCAGTCAATTGAAATGCCAGCCTCCACAGGGCTTTTTGGATCACTTGCCACAGTGGTCGCTCCACTATGTGCAAAATTGCCTGTGTGCAATTAATTAAACAAATCGCTTTACTTTCACCTACTGCTAGCTGAGGCGGCTGAGTGGCGACCAGCAGAATCAACATTTGCATTGCATTTTTGAATATTTACACAGGCTGATATACATACAAACATGCACATTTACAGAGATACACCAACACATCAGCACACCGAAACTAACATACACACTCTCCGCAGTGCTGTTTGGTTTTCTATTTCTGGTATTCTATTATATTTTGTCAGGTTTTCGGTTAACAGGAAAATTGACTCTGTGGAAAAGGCTGTATGTACCGAAAACAACTTTTCGCGCATATTACACGCCTGCTCTCAAACCCAAACACAGATACACACAATAATCACAGACGCTGACGGAGATGAACAGAGGGAACATATTGTCCCCGGGGCAGAGCAAAGTGGCAGCGCAGGAGAATCGTTCTGCACGACGAACAGTCAAAAACACAAATGAAACTTCTTTGGGGGAAAAGTATTTTTACAGACCAACCGATCTACCGACACCACCGACCGAGCGAAGGCACGCGCAATAGACGACGAAGAGGCACAATTGGTCTGATGGTCTGTTGGCCTGGCTCTGGCTTGGGCTCGGGCTCTCAGACTCAACAGGTCTTGAGCTGCTCTCCGCTTTGAGTGAGTATTTTGTTGATGGTTTTCTCGACGTGAAACCAGTTGATCTTGTTTTTTTTGTTTTTTTTTTCGTTTGTTGGTCGTTCAGATTCGAACTCCAATTCTTCGAGAGCTGCCTTCGTACGAGGCGGAGGTTAGGGCTGCCGCTGTTACATGACTGGCGCAGGCTCCTTCCTCCAGTTCGTGTCCTAAGTCTTTTGTTTTGTTTGCGTTTGGGTTTGCGCTCGCATGGCGAGTATTATCTATGAGTTATTTGCGCTTAGCTCTCCTGTCCTGTCTGTTTACCTTCCTTTTTTCCAGCTTTGCTCTCGTTATGGAAAAACTGAGCTCGTGGGCTTGGCACACGCTCGATATTGAATCGAAGCTGCAGTGCTCGGACCATAGGAATTTTCATTGCGTCGACTGGTTTGGTTGTTCGCTCTCGGCCAGCCTCCCTGTCTCCCGTCCTATGTGTTATGCCCGCCGCTCCACCTTATAGAAGTGCAATTTGCACTGCAAAATGCTGGCTACTGTGTTCCGTTCCCCGAAATACATTTGTATGTATGTACGTATACTCGTAGCCAGGCAGCGTAGGAGTAGCTAATGGTTCAATGAACCAAATGACAAATAACTAAGGAGACCAGGCAGAACATTCGTTCGGTATCCATCACAGAAATTGCCATTGAAATGACCTTGCCAGGGGAGGGCGTGTGCTGTTCGGACCTGAGAGATTTCGTACTCTGGCAAACGTCACAATTTATTTTGGAATTTATGGCCACATTTGGGCCCTAAGTTTAGTTTAGTGTGCCATTGTTCTGGCCGACGCGTCGGTTCTCCACACATCTCTCATGACAATAAGCACAGCCTCGGCCAACACAACGGCGGCTCTTTTGTCCGCATGTGAGTGTGCGTGCGTGTGTGAACGCCGCCAAATGTTAAACCAGTCGGGTTCTGTCCTGCCAATGCCCCAGCGATCCGCAAGCCACTTGACCAGGCGAACCAACCAACTGGTTAGGACTGCTGCAAAGCATGCGCCAAGGAATTTCGCCAACGATTCTCGGAATGTCTACAATGCACCAAGTGTGCAAGGAAAAATATCCACAAAAAATCGTTCTCGCACAAGAATGAATCCAACAACATCGGCAGACTGGTCAGTAATGGTCCAGACTGGACACAAACTTCATGTGCTGGCGTTGCAGCAACGTTGTGTTCCTCCAGCTCCAAAAATTATTCAACTGCACAAGCCAAAGCACGTTCGATCAGAAATCAATCACAATAGGGGCATCCTGCTCATCATTTTTATATATCTACCACATGGCTGGAAACAATAAGAGATAATTATAAGAATCCCAATTATATCATAGCGCAACCAACTGTATATTTTGACAGTGGACCATTCGAACGGTACTTGAGTCGATAATTTGATCTTGAAAAGGACGGGGGTCAACCTTTTATGATGCTATCTGAACGAATTGGACAGGGGCAAGGACGTGACTGCAACTGCGAGTGGGACTGTGACTGTGATGTTTGTTGTGACAGACTGGTGCCTCCCTTGCTGTGTTCTTTATTGACTGGGGTCGCTGCATGGGGCATAAATCAACAGGAGACGTCACGAAGCCTCAACCTCAGGTAGCAACGCTCAACGGCCAAAAGGCGACATCGAACTCCAAACGGAATGCCGCGTTTCTCTCTAAACTCAATTAGTGCACAGTCTTTCGTTCTTTGCGTGTGAGCGAGCGTTCTGCATTCCTTGCATGCCACACTGGCATTTGATTGATAATTTCGCTACGCCCCGAACATGGCACACAAAACAAAACAAAACCAAAAGAAGGAGGACAACAGAATATGGAAAACAGAAAACGAAAAATATTCATTTTGAAATGTTTGATATGGTTGCCGTTCCCAGAGATTTATGACAGTACCCCTGAGATGTGGCTATTTGTCGTCAATTCGGGGAGACAGCAAGCCTCAGTCTGATAGGGAAGAGATTAGGCATGTTCATTTTCATGCCACATTTCAGGTCGTGCTCAAAATTTTTGGGCTGGCCCGAAACGGGAATCTTAACGGGCAATGCATCTTCGTATGGGGACTCTCTACACTCCCATCATTCCAAAGTTATGTGAGAAGTATTGGTTTAAGATTTAAATATATTTGTAAGTATTTGATATTGCAAAAAATGTTTGATATTGAAATTCGTCATTGAACTATGTTTAATCATTTGAGAGCAGTTGGCATACGAGTAGAGCATTTATTGGCCACAACATTGGAAATTTTTGCACTCATAATTATTATACTGCTTTCAGGCAAAACTTGGCACTTTGTTTAGACTTCATTTGTTAAATTGAATTTAAAATTCTGCTTCTAGTAATAAGTATAGAATAATTTAACTCTAGATTGGCTAACTACGAGCTACTTATAACTTGGGCAAGATCGAATACTAATGTAAAACTTGTAGATAACTCCTATTTATTTTTGATTAATTATGATTTAACTTTTTTCCTTGATTCGCATGATACCACTCGTTGCTATGTAAGTATATGCACATCGCATACATCTTGGGTATCACTGAAGGAATGCACCAAGCAGCGTCTCCAGCTCGAATGGTTTGTATGGGTCATAAGTGATATCAGCAATGTGGGGACTGGCCTGCGTCGTCCCTATTAGACTTCAAGTTTCAGCTTGCCGTATTTCTGAAACTTGCTGAGGAACTCGTCTCATTTTTTCACACCGATGTATGAGCTGCTCTTGCCGGTCTTACGCAGCTGTTCCAACAGTTCATCGGACGACAGGTTCGACGTGACGGTAACCGTTCTTTCCTCCAAGTTAATGTTGACTTTCTCGACCTTATCTGTAAGAATGGCGAAAAAGTTTTAGTTGGTAGCCGCGTTTATAGACAGAGAACTGTCTGATAAGGGGGCTTTAACGTGATTTAGTATAATACCCATTACTAGACCATTTCATTCTTCCCCTACTTACCGCCCAATTTACCCAAAACGCGCTCCACGGCACTGGCACACCCGCCGCAGGTCATTTCCACCTTGAATTCGTGCACCTGATAGAATGAGTAGGGAGGGGGTAAAAATTGCAATACACAATGTAAAAGTGTCTGATGGATACACACGGTCATTCTGCTGCTGCTGCTGTGACGACTGTCTTCCGTCGTCCTGTTATAGACTTGCGGTAGATTAAACAGCTTGGCGGATTGACTAGTTGGCTTCTTGACGTGGCAAAAACTTATTCTTTGCTCTTAAAATAATCTGAATCGCTTTTTTCCTGAATATCACAGTGTGACCGCGAAATTATCGATCAAATATACCGTCAAGGCTTCGTAAATATACCATAATATACCATTGCATCTTCATAATATACCGTAAATATACCGTAATCTTAAATCAGATACTTCGATTTTCATGTTATATTTGAAATTAACCGAACCGGTCGCGAGCATCCAGGAAAGATAGATGTTAGGCTAATATTCCAGGAAAATTAGAACTCAACACAACTAAACTAGAGCAAGTATAGCTAAGCAAGCAAAACTATAAACGTCAGAAACAAGACAGAACTAAAATGAAACTAGCTACAGGAGAGGTACGCTAGTATAAGAGATTTAAGAAGAGGAAGGGAGTTAGTCGAGGATATAATGTGATGGAGGGAATTATAATCCGAGCATAAGACCCTAAAGGGTTCGTGCAAGGCATAATTCGATCTGCACAGTGGAAGGAACAAAGCAATATAGTTTCAGGGCTGTCTACATCCCCCTCGATCAAGTTGTGCATAAAAATTACACCAAGCATTTTTCTGCGACTAACTAAGGATAGAAGATTTATTAAAAGAAGTCTACTACGGTAGGGCAAATATTAAAAAGTGTTTCTGTACTGATTCAATACGGTCTTGATGTATGTTGTACTGAGGGCACCATACACATGAGCCGTATTCTAAAATCGGACGAACAAGCGAGATATATAGAGTCTTCGTTATGTAGGGGTCATCAAATTCCTTTGACCACCTCTTTATAAACCCAAGCACACCCATGGCTTTATTTACCGCGGTAAAAATGTGTTCAGAAAACTTTAACTTGGGTTCTAGTTTAACACCTAGATCATCAACCAATGTAATTCTCTCAAGAGAACTACCGCAGAGGGTGTAAGGAGCCAGGAAGGGGCTGGAGCGATAGAAAGTCATTACATTGCACCTCGAGGCATTAAGTGGTAACATATTTGCACAGCACCATGCCTGAAAGCTATTGAGATCAGATTGCAAGCGAGAGTGAAATGAAATGTCCTTGTACTGGACACAGAGTTTAACATCATCCGCATACAAGTACTCGAGAATTTGTTAATGCAGAAGGCAGGTCATTAATAAAGAGTGTGAAAAGTAAGGGGCCTAAATGGCTACCCTGTGGTACTTCAGAAGTAACCTTAACAGGTAGAGATAGGTAGAGGAGTTTTTGAAAAGGACCCTTTGAAACTTAGAACACAGGTAGCTAGAAATCCATCTCAACAGATTGGGCGGAAACCCTAGAAGGTCGAGCTTTTGTGCAAGAAGAGGGTTTTATTATAATCATTTTTATTTTAATTTTTCATTCAAATCTCCTCTGGAAATACGGGAGCTTTGACTTCAGTATGTAAATGTATGTAAATTATTAACAGAGACAAACTTACATATGTTACATGCATACATATACGTAGTCAGTGTGTCCGTTTATTTATCAACAAAATAATACATTCTTAAAATTGGTGTCAAAAAAAATTGCGGTCACACTGCCAGAAGACACGCCATTTTTCACAAAACTTTAAAGTTTTTGTAAACATAACCTATACGCCAGGTAAGTATCGGAGTAAAACTGTAACAAGTTACATATCTCGACGTGGCGATTTCCACCTTGTAAAGGCGGGTGGTAACATAAAACCTCAAAAAACCAAGACAAAAATTGGTGTCCGTTCGGAAAACAACTCTTTTTTGAGTTCAAAATTTTCAGTAACCTTTCTATACCCTGTACTCGAAGAGTAAATAGGGTATATTGTATTTGTGTCAATAACGGTTGTATGTAACGCACAGAAGGAAACGTTTCCGACCCAATAAGGTATATATATTCTTGATCAGCATCAATAGCCGAGTCGCTTGAGCCATGTCTGTCGGTCTGTCTGTCCGTCTGTCCGTCAGTCTTGTTTAGCGCCTGGATCTCAGACTTCTTTCCGTATGCTCACACTGCTACAAGTGTACTTCAAAAATGAGCCCCGCCCGTTCCGCCCCCGCAAAATCCACCCAAACCTACAATTCCGTAGGGAAGGACCATATCTATCAGATCACCGAATTGGGATCCGATTGGATTATTATTTTAGCAAGAATGAATACATTAATTTGCGGTCGCTAAACCCACCCCGTCCCGCTGTTTATATTTGTGTTTGCACATTCTCTCATTCACACTCTGCTTCGCGCAGTGTGCGGCTTCTGCCTCTGCCGTGACCGCAGTGTGTGTCTCTTTGGAAGGGGGGCGAGCTAACGTCCCTTATCGTTTTTTCTGATATTCAAAATAAACTGAAGTACCAAAAATAATAAACGATAATACCGAAATATACTCTCATTTTCAATATATATTGTAAATATACCGTAATTCTCGATTTTGATGTACCTAGTACTCAGATCGAAAAAAAAAGTTGCTAGCTAAATGTGCAATATATTTTGCTAGCAGCAGAGTGTGACCAGACGTGAAAACCGCATTTCGTACGGTTACACTTCTCAGGCATCTGTGTTGTTTTGTTTACCTCTTTGAAAATGTGTGCAAATGGAATAAAAGGTTAATAAAACAATGAATGCAAAATTGATCCATGAAGGAGATTGCTTTTAGTGGGACTGGCAGCTCTTCCATGATCGGAGGAGGAGGACAATCAACGAAAAAGCGCCGACAACTTTGATTAAGCCGATATCTGCAGGAAAGAAACCAGGACGGTCGTTTGTCTATACAGTATACTGCCGGCGTACAGCCGCTATAAAGTCACTTGTGCGCGCAAAATTTCCTATCGGCTCCATACGAATATCATCCCTGATTTTTCTAGCGGCCCCATTTTTTTTCGATCTGAGTACTATTCTTTAAGTTATTTGAAAAAACCTTAAAACATGCTGCCATCATAAAAAATCATTGTCAGTTCCTTGAAGTAAAATCGTGTCGAGTATTGTAATCATAAGTAATTTTTGATTTATAATATATTGTAACTTCATTCGTGGCGCATCTCTCAATAAAACATAATCTTTCACGCTTTGTAATACGCGATTCTTCGATTCTAAACCTAAAGTCAACCGATTATGCAGATAGGAATGTAATGTAGGAATGTAGGAATATAATAGCTACATACCTCCAGCTTATCTATTAGCCTACCAACATGTAAGCGCACTTTGTAGGGCAGTTTCTATTTCACACTTATATTTTCTCGACATCATTACAATTATTTTTGTGAGTAAAAGCCGGGCAAAATAATATTTATAAATATGCAAGGATATGCTTATGTCTATATTTTCACTATGATCTATAAAAGCCAATTTATAAAATATTGTTGAGTGAAATTTTAAGATTTTGTTTTGTAATCGGGAAAAATTAAAGTGCCATCCCTAGATTCGTTTGGGGCATGCACCGAATCTGTAGACCACCTGATGATCATACAACTGTCCAGGATTGAGGACGATCGACGGGAAGTCATCGTGATTCATGGCATCGGGATACTTTTGTGTCTCCAAGCAAAAGGAGCCATGCCGCACATAGTGAGCGCCGCCCTTGCCAATGTTGGGCACCCCGCCGCGGTCCTCGTCAGGCAGATTGTTGGCTGTGTAGAACTGTACTCCCGGCTGGTTGGTGTGCACCTCCATGTAGCGCCCGCTGCAGGGATGGACAACACGGGCCACCAGCTGGACACGATTGGGCGCCACGTCGACACAATAGTTATTATCGAAGCCGCTGATGGGACAATTTGAGAGCTGGGCAATTCGCTTGCCAAGGTTGACAAGGCTGGAAAAGTCGTACGGAGTGTTGCGGATGCGCATCAGCTTCCCAGTGGGGATCTGCTCGAGATCCGTGTCCACAATCTTCTGCGCCTTGATCATCAGCATGTGCTGCAGTAGAGTGTCTTTTCCGGTTCCATGGCCCGCCAGGTTGAAGTACGCGTGGTTGGTGATGTTGACACAGGTAGTGGCCTTGGCCCTTGCCTCGATCCTCATGCCAAAGCAGCCGGTTTCGTTCAGCGAAAAGTTGATGTTGACGGTCACCTCTCCGGGGTACCCTTCGTGGCCGTCCGGCGAGACGTGCTGAAAGGTAACGCCGTCCTTGTGTATGCCAACCACATCCCAGATGACGCTGTCGAAGCCCACAAAGCCACCGTGCAGCTGGTAGCGATCCCTGAAGTTACGGCTCACCTTCACTTCCTTGCCGCACAGCTTGAATCGGCCCCGGGCCACACGATTGGCTACCCTTCCAATGGTTCCTCCGAAGTAGCTCGGCTGGTTGCGGTAGTAGCCCGCCACGTCATCGTAGCCCAGACAGACATCCTCGAGCTTTCCGTCAAAGTCCGGCACCTTGATCCTCTGGATGATGGCACCCAGGGTGAGAACAGACACGCACATGCCCCGGTCTGTGCTCAGCGTAAAACGGCGCACCTGATCCGTCTTCTGGGTGATGGGGTTGACGGCGATGCCGAACATATCCTCGATGACGCGCACCATCCTGCCAGCTGCGTAGACTTACCAAAACTCAAAATGTTTTACCAAAATGGGGAAAAAGCAAAATTTTATATCAGCCTAGGTTGAGAGACTGAGAATTTGGAAATCAATGCAAAGGCTGAAAGATGCCCAAAAAGGTCAAGGCTAGCTTAGTGATGTTTTCGACAAGAGACTACAAGACACTGCGGCAGCTACATCAGTCATTCATGTACAACTTATCGTTGTAAGTTATACAACTTAGAGACCGTTTAAATGGGCGCAGACTGTAAAGACATTTATTCATAGATACACTTTAGCCAGTAGCCAATACTTTCGTCTTATTATCTGCAAAACCCAGATCTAAATAGAAATTATAAACAGCCACAACCACATGCCCCTTTAGGTTTGAAACAAATTTTATTAGTATACGGGGCACATCGAGCTTATTAGGAGAGGAATGAGGACGCCTAGCCCTAGCTGGGTCCTAGCATCTTTTCTGGGCGCACCCACTCGTCAAAGTCCTTTTCAGAGATTCCAGCATTGAGGGCCTCCTGCTTCAGTGTGGTCCCGTTGAGGTGTGCTGTCTTGGCTATCAGGGCCGACT